ATTTTAAGATATAACATTGAGTACCTTATCATATTCATCCGTGCAAGTTGTTCGCGACGTCTTTGGCTCTTCGCGATTTCGTAGTGCAGCGTAATGCAACTTTGTTTTATTCGCAATGTCTTCGTGATTTCGCAGCAACAGCGCACCCTGGGTAGGACATTTGGATTTTCGTAGCAATAGCATTCAGATTCAAAATTTGGAAAATTAGGGATTTAGCACTTGGGTAGGAGATTTGGATTTTCGCAGCAATAACGTTTGGATTCAAAATTTGGAGGGGTTTTGGGAAATTAGGGATTTTGGTAAAAAAAAGTTATAATGGATTTTTTAAACAGGCTTTGATCCGATCTGTTTTAAATAAAATGGTTAGGTTAATTGGTTTTTTCAAAATCGGTTTGGTTCGGATATTTGCTGTTTGCATCAGTTATTTTTCAGATCGGTCCGGTTCGATTTTAAATGGTTCGGTTTGGTTCGGTTTTTTGCACACCCCTACTGAACACATTACTTTTTATTCTGAATAGATAGACATATTCACTCTAATAAAACATATTCATCTAAAATTCAAAACAACTAGATTTGATCCACTTAAAATTTTCTCTTTTTAAAATTGTGTTTGTCATCATAAAAAAGGAGAGATTGTTAGGTCAAAAGACAATCTTAGACCCTTCAGACATTAAGTTTTAATGATAACAAACATGAATATTTTTCTAAGAGAAAATTTTTTTTAGATCAAACCTTAATACAAATAAAGATAAGGTGATCAATTATTAGGATATTAAGTTTCATAAATAAAGCATTTCATTTGTAAGACAAATGCTTTGTATGAATATCATTTATGATATTTGATTACAAAACCATCTTTGTCTACATGATTCCTTAACAAATTGAATGGAAAAAATTCTTTAACACTCACAATTCACTAAAGGAACTAAAGGCATGCTTTGCATCAAAAAAAGACTGATGTTAAGTCAAAAGACAATATTGGATCCCCTAAATTTTGAAGTTTTAGGGTTTAACAAATGAAGCATTTTTAGAAGAGAAAATGTTTTTGAAAATGTCTTTGCAAAGTGTCTATCAAACAAAGTGTAAGACGCATATCGTTTGTAAAATGATGTGAATCAGATGAAGAACACAATTTGTCTTATATACATTAAATGTTCATTATTTATTAAGACAAACGACAAAATCTATTTTGAATGCTTCATTCCTTAATAAATTGAACAAGAAATCCATCTCAAAGTTCACAAATCTGTTAAAGAGAAAAGGATCGTGCTTTCTGTCAAGATCAAGGACAAAAATCCTTGAAATCATAGAGAAAAGCACATAAAGTCATTGTTATAGTTGCACTACGCTAATATTGCTTTTATAAGCTTTGTTTGGTATAGAAAGATGATAAGTAGCTTTTTTAATCAGATAAGAGGTATCATTTAGTCAAATGCATTTAATGGTTGTATTAAATGAATCAACGATTACCTATTATCGTAAGGAAAAATGATGAAGACAAATGAAACAAACTTGTGAGTTGGACTCAAAGTGTTGCAACGATCATCTTCTCCAAGCTACTATATAGGAAGATTTGAAGCTTAAGAAAGAAAATAACACAACAAAAAGAAGAAAAAAAGACATAACATATTGAAGAGATTTATATAGAAACATACACTCTGTAATTATACTTGTGTATAGTCCTCATTCTTTCTTGTTAAAACTTATTACTCTATATTGGTTGTATAACATCTAAGTGAGACAAACACAACATTTGTATAACCTTCATAACCATTGTAATAAAGTTAAGCTCGAAGAAGCTTGTTTGTAAAATAATATTTGTTTTGACCCTAGAGAGGCTTGTATGTAAAAGAATACTTGTTTTGAACCTGAAAAAGATTAACTATAATAGAATACTTAGTTGGTAAGCTTGGAGAGACTTGTTGTAAAAAGAATACTTTGGTAATTGCTTAAAAAGGCAAGTAAAAGAATACTTGGAATTAAAACAGAAGTGACTTGTTATAATAATACTTGTATCTTTGTTGAAAGATAGTGAAACTTAATCTGGTTGAATTGAGAACTAGACATAGTCTTAATGGTTGAAACGAACTAATATAACAATACTCAGTGTTTTGTCTGAATTCTCTTAATACTCCATTTGACTAGCAATACTACTTCACTACGTGAAAAATGAGTTTTTTATACACACTATTAAAATCTCTTTTAGTGTTTATCTTTTCTCCATAACTAGCATATCCCTTAAAGCACATAAAACTTCAAACAAACAAAACTAACTACTTCAGACTAACACGCATGGTTCCTTTTTTTCGGTGCTTAAAAGGTGATAAGTAGCTTCCTTGATTAAATAAGAAATGATAATTTCGTGAGATGTATTTAATGCACCAATTGACACTTCTCTCTATATTGAACGAAGATGAAGATAGATGCAGGAAACCTGTTAGAGATGCTCAAGTGTTTGCAACAGTTATCTTCATGAAACATTTATAAAAAGAAGCTTGAGGATTAAAAAAAAAGAGACAAATTTACACGAACATCATTGTACGTTTTATTCTTTTTGGTAAAATGCCTTGTACTTAATTGGTTGTATCACATTTTAATAGTAAGACGAAATAACATTGTTACCTTACTTAACTTTAACTTTGTGTTATTGTTTTGAGCTTGAAAGGACTTGATTTTAATTAAAATGATAATTGATTGTTAAAGCCTAGAGAGCTTTATGTTAAAAGAATACTTAGGTAGTTACTTGAAGAGGCAAGTCAAAAAATACTTAAGTTGAACCAAAAGTGACTTGTGAAAGAATATTTGTGTCTTTGTATTATGAAACTTGATTGATTTGATTGAGAACTAATATAATCTCGGTGACTGAGATAAACTATTATAAAAATACTGTGTGGTCTTCTTACTTTACTTTCTATTTGCCCTCTTGCAGGATTGCTACTACTTCACTGTTTCGAAAAAAGTATTGAGATTTTTTATTGACACCATTCAATCCCTTTGTTCTAGTATCTTTTTTTTTCTCCACACTTATCATTATGGATTTCAATTAATAGATCTTTTCATTCATACTTTACTTTCACTAAGAACAACATCACCAAGATTCAACACAAATTGCCACCAATGGACAAAGCAACTCAATAATCAACAACAACACATGGGATAACAAAATTACAAACTTCTTTTATCTCTCAATTACTTCCAAAACCAAGGAAAAGAAGGGAAGAAATGAAGAACTTTGAACAACTTCTCTCGAACATTCTCATTTTCTTAGCATGAAACTCTACTTTTACTACTCAATCTCCATTTTTTGAGAAAGATAAGGAAGCTCCAGATGGAATTAGAATAAAGCTTGAACTTCTCTAGCTTTAGCGTTTTTTATCTCTAAAATCTCACTTGAATTTAGATAAGTGAACTTATAAAGTTCAAATTCTCTAAAAACCTTATACATATCCCTATTTTTGGTCAACTTTAACCTTAACACAAACAATTTTAAACAACTTAATTCATGAAAATTTCTTAATACTTAAAATTTTGAGATAACACATAAAATAATGTGACAATTCAAACAATACAAACATCATGCAACATGCAATATTCATATAGCATACAACAAAATGTTACAATATATAACTAAATTTTAAGATAAATTATATATATATATATAAATAAATACTATATTTAAATATATAAATTATATTTAAAATTTGAATAAATAGATATTTTAAACATATAAATTATATTTTATATTCATGATAAATGATTCACATTGTAGTACAAGATTATTTTTATTTATTGATAATTTATTTTAAAATATTAAAATTTAATTCATAAATAATTATGATAAATAAAAATTAAATTAGATATAAATTTTAAAAAATTCCTAAAAATTCTCTTATTAAAAATAAATACCTACAAAAACGTTTTTACGCAAAATAATATTTAATGTTTTATATGCACAAGATAACATTTCATGTTTTATACTCAAGGATAGATTAATTATATTTCAGAAGCACATCTTACCTTTTCAACATTCAACTTTTATTATTACTTTCAAACACACTCCACAATATTAAATACACTATCCTATCATCTACACATTGAGGTCAGTTCATATCATAATGGAAGTTGCTATTCCAAACTTTTCTTATTAATTTTAAAACATCACTTGTTATAATCTTTTTAAGTTATATATATATATATATATTTATTTTTAAAATATTAACCATTTTGATTTATATAAAAAGTGAAATTTATAAGTTTATTTAAAGAAAAATTTATGTCATAACTTAAAAATCTTATTACAAATTAAGTATGTTTTTCCCTTAGTTATCATCATGAATTTCATATCTAATTTAAAAAAATATGTTTATATAATTTAATGAATTCATCAGATTCAATTTTTATAAAACCTAAGATTTATTTTGCTTTTATATTGATATTGATGTTAAATTTTTACAAAATTATTAGACTCTGTCAGAAAAATTAAATCAAGCCAACAATTTTGAATTGCTGGAACAGGAACTTTTAATTTTGACTATTCAAAATTAACTGCACCGTCTCAAATTGGAATTTGGAATTTCATAATTGCTGCACCGTTCAATTAGAGCCACAAGTTGAAATGCTATTTTCTACAATTCTGCTGTTTGTGAGTTGTCAATTAATATTATAATGTTTTATAAAGCCTATAAAAGGCTAATCGTGTACTGAGTATGTTGGATCAAAAATTTCAGATTGAAAATATATTGAAAGAAACTCTCTCTTCCTCTCTTGTTTTTCCACTGTGCGTATGTGAGTGAATTTGATGAAATTATGTTCTATTGATATCAGACTCTTACAAATACTTGTAGATGAGGTTAGATTTTTGTGTAAGTTAGTCAAAGTGTCCTTTAAAAAAAATAGAGTTGTTATATCTTTGAGAGAGAGATATGGCCACCAGTTACAATATTATTTGGTCTGGTCCCAAGTTAGATGGAAAATTAGATTTTAGTTATTGGGAGACTTTGATGGCCACACATTTAAGAGCTCACAACATTTGGAGCTTTGTTGAACCGGGATTAGCAGAAGGAGCTGATGATATTGCTAGAAGAAGAGACCAATTGGCGTTGTCACAAATTCACCAAGGAGTAGATTATTCCATTTTTGGAAAAATTGCAAATGCCAAAACTGCCAAAGAAGCGTGGAATATTTTGAAGTTGTCATATAAAGGTGTAGAGAAAGCTCAAAAATCCAAGTTGCAATCTTTGCGAAGGGAATATGAAAGATATGAAATGTCGAATTCTGAATCCGTGGAACAATATTTTTCACGAGTTACAGATCTCGTCAACAAAATGAGAGTATATGGAGAAGATATTCCTGAAAGCAAGGTGGTGGAGAAAATTCTACGCACCATGCCGATGAAGTTTGATCATGTGGTGACTGCAATAATAGAGTCCCACGACACAGACATCATGACAGTTGCAAAATTGCAAGGTAGCATTGAAAGTCATGTGAGTAGAATCTTGGAGAAAACTGAAAAAGGAAATGAAGAAGCATTGAAAAGCCAGGTGAATTTTACCAACATAGCAGAACCCAGCCGACGTGAAGACAGTAAAGGTCGTGAAGGTGGAAATATAAATTTCAGAGGTAGAGGTCGTGGTAGTTTCAGAGGAAGAGGTCGTTGTAATTTTAATCAACAATGGAGAGACAACAATTTCAGGCCACCTAATCAAGGAAGAGGTGGACACAATGTCAGATCTACCAACCGTGGAAGAGGAAGAGGCAGCTTCACCAACCAGGAGAGGACAAATTTCAATTGCTACCACTGTGGAAAGTTCGGGCACAGAGCTGCAGATTGTAGATTCAAACAACAAGCAAATATAGCAGAAAATCAATATAAGCATACTGGTGAGAGTTCTGATAATCCACAAACCTTACTTCTAGTAGCAAATAATTTTTCAGGCGATGGAGCTATTTGGTACCTAGATACTGGCTGCAGCAACCACTTGTGTGGGAAAAAGGAATTATTTTTCTCACTAGATGAAACAGTAAAATCTACTGTGAAATTCGGAAATAACTCTAATATTCCGATTTTGGGAAAAGGTCGAGTTGCAATTAGATTGAAGGACGGTTCTCAAAATTTCATCTCTGATGTTTTCTATGCTCGTGGTCTTCATCACAATCTATTGAGTATGGGACAACTATCAAAGAAAGGTTACAACATGAAGATTCATCATGGATACTGCACGTTGATAGACAAAAGTGGAAGATTTATAGCTAAGGTAAAAATGACCCCGAATCGCTTATTTCCTTTGAAGATTTGTCATGAAAAGTTTACTTGTTTGAGTTCTATTATTCCCAATGATGATTGGTTGTGGCATATGCGCTTTGGACACTTTCACTTCTCTGGATTAAATTATTTGTCAAGAAAAGAATATGTTTCTGGCTTGCCTATTGTGAATATTCCTAATGGTGTTTGTGAGACGTGTGAGATTGGAAAGAAGCATAGAGAATCATTCCCAACTGGAGTATCTTGGAGGGCGAAGAAGCTATTAGAGATAGTTCATTCAGATTTATGCATGGTTGAGATACCAACACATGGCGGTAGCAGGTATTTCATTACTTTTATTGATGACTTTAGCAGAAAAGCTTGGGTGTATTTTTTGAAACAGAAATCAGAAGCTTGTGATGCCTTTAAGTCATTTAAGGCATTTGTGGAGAAACAAAGTGGCTGTAAGATTAAAGCATTAAGGACAGATAGAGGCCAAGAATATCTTGCCTGTGCAAATTTCTTTGACCACCATGGAATTCAGCATCAAATGACAACTAGATACACTCCTCAACAAAATGGAGTAGCAGAAAGGAAGAACAGAACAATCATGGATATGGTGAGATGCATGCTAAAGGCAAAACAAATGCCTAGAGAATTCTGGGCAGAAGCAGTTTCTACTGCTGTGTATATTTTGAACAGGTGTCCAACAAAGAGTGTTTGTGATAAAACACCAGAAGAAGCTTGGAGTGGAAGGAAGCCCTCAATCCGGCATCTCAAAATTTTTGGGTGTATAGCATATGCTCATGTACCAGATCAACTCAGAAAGAAGCTAGATGACAAAGGAGAGAAGTGCATCTTTATTGGTTACAGCACCAACTCAAAGGCGTATAAGCTTTACAATCCAGTGACAAAGAAGGTTATCATCAGCAGAGATGTGACCTTTGATGAAGAAGGAATGTGGGATTGGTCTTTCAAAGCACAAAAGGAGCCTGTAATAAATCCAGAAAACTATGAAGAGGAGAATGGACATGTAAATCCAACACCTGATGAACCAGAAACATCAAGCAGACCACAAAGGCAAAGGAGATTACCAGCCAGATTGGAGGATTATGTTGTGGGTAATGATAATGACCCATCTGATGAAGAAATTATCAATTTTGCCTTATTTGCAGATTGTGAGCCTGTAACTTTTGAAGAAGCTTCAAATAATCAACATTGGAGAAAAGCAATGGATGAAGAAATTCATGCCATTGAGAAGAATCAAACATGGGAGCTGACAGACTTACCAGCAGACAAAAGGCCAATTGGAGTAAAGTGGGTGTACAAAACTAAGTACAAGTCCAGTGGAGAAATTGATCGCCTTAAAGCAAGGTTGGTAGCAAAAGGGTACAAACAAAAGCCAGGTATTGATTATTTTGAGGTATTTGCTCCTGTAGCAAGATTAGATACAATTCATATGCTTATCTCTCTATCAGCTCAAAATAATTGGAAAATTCATCAAATGGATGTTAAATCTGCTTTTCTGAATGGTACTTTGGAAGAAGAAGTATATGTTGAGCAGTCTGCAGGATATGAAGTTAAAGGAAAAGAAGATAAAGTCTACAGATTGAAGAAGGCATTGTATGGTCTAAAGTAGGCACCCATGGCGTGGTATAAGAAGATTGATTCTTAATTTGTGGATAATGGATTTCAGAGATGCCCGTTTGAACACATTGTATATCAAATCTGTTGACCCTGACAATATTCTTATTGTGTGCCTCTATGTTGATGATCTAATTTTTACTGGCAATAATCCAAAAATGTTTGCAGAATTCAGGGAGGCTATGGTTAAATGTTTTGAAATGACAGATTTGGGTCTAATGTCATATTTTTTGGGCATCAAGGTTGATCAGCAAGATGATGGAATTTTCATTTCTCAAAAGAAATTTGCAGGTGATATTTTAAAGAAGTTCAAGATGGAGAATTCAAAGCCAATCTCAACACCTGTTGAAGAAAAGTTGAAGCTGACAAGTGACATTGGAGGCAAGAAAGTCAATCCAACTCTCTATAAAAGTTTGATTGGAAGCCTTAGATATTTAACTGCAACCAGGCCAAATATTGTCTATGGAGTTGGACTACTCAGCAGATTCATGGAAAAGCCTCGAGATTCTCATTGGCAGGCAGCTAAAAGAATTCTCAGATACATCAAAGGTACTCTGACAGAAGGAATTTTCTATGATAAAGGCATTGATGTGAATCTTGTTGGATATACAGATAGTGATTGGGCAGGAGATAGAGAAACGAGAAAGAGCATGTCAGGATATGCATTCCATCTTGGAAGTGGTACAATATCATGGTCATCAAAGAAGCAACAAGTGGTGGCGCTTTCAACTGCCGAAGCAGAATATATAGCAGCAGCAAGTTGTGCAACCCAAGCTGTGTGGCTGTGAAGAATGCTTGAAGAGATGCATCAGAAGCAAGATACTCCCACAGTGATATTTTGTGATAACAAGTCAACAATTGCATTATGCAAAAATCCAGTATTTCATGGACGGTCCAAGCACACAGATATTCGATTTCATAAAATCCGAGAACTGGTAGTTGAGAAAGAAGTAGCAATTGAATATTGTCCAACTGAAGAACAAGTTGCAGATATTTTTACGAAGCCATTAAAAGTCGAGTTATTTTATAAGTTAAAAAGAATGCTTGGAATGATACAAGCTTGATTTAAGGGAGGCAATGTCACAAAAATTAAATCAAGCCAACAATTTTGAATTGCTGGAACAGGAACTTTTAATTTTGACTATTCAAAATTAACTGCACCGTCTCAAATTGGAATTTGGAATTCCATAATTGCTGCACCGTTCAATTAGAGCCACAAGTTGAAATGCTATTTTCTACAATTCTGCTGTTTGTGAGTTGTCAATTAATATTATAATGTTTTATAAAGCCTATAAAAGGCTAATCGTGTACTGAGTATGTTGGATCAAAAATTTCAGATTGAAAATATATTGAAAGAAACTCTCTCTTCCTCTCTTGTTTTTCCACTGTGCGTATGTGAGTGAATTTGATGAAATTATGTTCTATTGATATCAGACTCTTACAAATACTTGTAGATGAGGTTAGATTTTTGTGTAAGTTAGTCAAAGTGTCCTTAAAAAAGTCTATGACAGGTAATTACGTTACACTCAAAGTTTAACTTAGTCTGATCTAGTTTTACCCTATTAGCTTTACAAAAATGTAGTTAGCTAGGAAGAGAAATTAAAGTTGATAAATTACTCAAAATTAAGAATATACAATGAGTGAATGCAGCAGCAGCAGCAGTAGCCACACAAGTATGATGATGATATAATGCTTACAAAGATCGAAAGCATAGAGAGTTTTCCAAATACAACCTTAAACGAGTTCTCCAAAAAGGGAAACTAAGAAACGAAGGATCAATGAGAACATGTTGAAGAGACATATATAGAAGTGTCTCCCCTTTGTTCTGCACCACGTTGGTTGAAATGAGGAGCAAGTTTTTCATAGTATCGAGCGAAGCTGGGGGCGAGGGTTGGGGCGAGGGTGGTCCCAGTCAGTGACAATGTGGTCACGAGTGATTTCCTTGAGCGTGCGGCAACCACTCAAGGCCATGGTTAACTCAAACTCCTCACGTAGCATCTGCAACACTTTTCTTACACCAGCTTCGCCTTCAGCAGCCAAGGAGAACACCACAGGGCGTCCAATCTGCAAAACACCAAAGTTTGTTGATCATAGTTTGCATGATATTGATATGGTTAAGATGTAACAACTTCCAACGTACGTAAGACCTTTGCATGTTATCCTAACCTTTACTACTACTAGACTATTTGGTAAAATGAAAATGAAACATAATGAAAAAGCCAAGAGGTTTTGGAAGAAGTCAAGAAATACTCACAAATATGCCAGAGGCACCTAGTGCCAATGCCTTGAAGACATCAGTTCCACGACGAACACCACCATCCAAAAATACAGGAACACGACCTTCAGCAGCTTTGACAACCTAAGTTTCAATAACAAAATTAAGCATGCATTACAACCTTAATTTAAATTAGTGTCTAAAAGTTTTAAGGTAACTAAGATGTAACTTGAAGTTAATTATGTACCTCTTCTAAGGCTGATATGGTGGCTGGAACATAATCAAGTTGTCTAGCTCCATGATTGGACACTATTATTCCAGCTGCACCAACTTGTACAGCAATCCTTGCTGCCATGTTCAAAGGAGGGCATTAACAAAATATTCAAAAAGGGAGAACAAATGAACACAACTTTGGGAAGATTTTGCTAACCATCCTCAGCAGTCAACACACCCTTCACCAAAATTGGAAGTTTGGTGATTGTTTGAAGCCACTTCACATCCTACAAAATTGACAAGGATTATTTATATGGTGGACTCATTTCAATGAGCCTTTAAAGTTCCCAAGGTGTATATCAAAAATGAAAAACTACTAATGCAAAATACTGTTTTAGTTACGGGATTTTATGTTCTGTCATTAAAAAGTAAGGCGGTGGCAAATGGAAACTATGATCAAGTTGAACTTATTACTCTGCATGGATATTCTTTGTCTAGTGTCAGCTTGCAAGCAACTTAAGAGTCAAATAAATTTGTCATTTG